AGTATCAAAAATTTCAAAAAAGTAAAAATCATGCGTGAGAGTTTCAGTCTCAGCGTAATCGGCATCACGTCTCCATTCAATTTTGTAACTGTATTGATGAGGATGATAATCCCAAAACAAATTGGCTTCGTAAGACCAACGTGAAAAGAAACTTAATGTGGGTGTCACGTCAAATGTGATAAGATTACGTTCAATGATTACGTTGAAAATTTTTTTTATACGCTTCTCGACCTATGACGGTACATTTTGAAAAGTTCATATATGGGTAGTGTTCTCGCTGTAGTTCTTTGAGCTTGACCAAGGTGAGATGAAACAAGAGTAACGATTTTAATTCGTAGTATTTTCTCTAAAAGAAATAAAAAATTAAATAGGTCCAAGAAAAAAAACCTTCGAAGAAACACATTGCCAGTAATAATATAGGGTTCATCGTTAATTCCAGTCTATTTTATACAAAAAGTATTGACCATGAGCGAGTCTGTTTCTATGTACCGAACATTGTAATCATGGTATTCGGATTTTGCAGCGTAAATGAACAACATAATATGTCGATAATTTAGATCTCCCATGACTTCACACGAATTTAGATCTATTAAAGCGAACCATCTTCTACAAAGATCTGTTAAGTAATCGATAACTTTTTTGAAAAATAAGATGGAAAACAAGGTCCTAGTTGTCATCTGTAAAAAAAATAGAAACAAATCTAAGTTTAAAAAGTTACTGAGTTTCGTACAATTCGATCTATAAGTACGAGATGAAAATCATTGTCGTAATGTAAAGTAAAATTATCGATTTCACGATGAAGCACTGATTGGGTTGATGGAGAATAATTATGTGTTGTTTCATACAAGGTAAACCAAAAGTAATAATATCCAGTTAAGGTGAGAGTGCATTCCTAAAGAAAAAATAGAAAAAAGTTTTTTTTGTAGCTGATAAATGACAAATCCAAGGGTGATGAGTAGACCAAGATAAGAATAAAATCTTCTAAATCAAGTGGTTTCTACCTAAGAAAAATAAAATGTTTTTTATCAGCGATAAAGCAATCTGTGCATGGAATATAAATATTCGAATATACTTTGAAGTGTGAAATCATTTTCGTCTAGGTCGAGATCTACCGTGATACTACGATATTGCACTTGTGTGGTTCTTATGAATAAAAAAATGATTTAATTTTCCAATCTTATACGACGATCTGTTTCCATTTGGCAATGTAACTTGAATTTTAAAATTTCTCTTAAGATCAGGTCGTGAGTCTGAAAGTTAAAGAGTATTTAAGTGAATTAATAACATTTCGTGAAATAGTTCGGCCATTTGACGAGAATCTATTGTTATATGGAACATTCTACATCCTAGTTCTAATTGTTCTTGCATCCAAGCAGATTCACGCCCTTCTGATTGGTACGAAACATATAGTGGAGCTGATCCAATTCTTTCTCGAACACGTAACGTTACTTCTTGCGCTGTCATCATGTAACATATCATCTTTTTTAAAAGTAAATTAGGCATCTAGAGAAAATTAATCACAAAAATGAAAGTTCGTATGTACACTTCTATGTCATCCATGTGTTGGGTTGCACGTTCGATTAAAAAACTGGAGAAAAGTGGGATGTGATCTCTTACCCTTCCGAGCTGTTCTTCCAGGTTTGGGGAGTCGATCAGTGTACGAAGTCTCTGGATGACTTCTTCACGTGTCATTTTTAACACATCGCGTGCAATACGGTTGGTGTCGACATGGAGTCGACTCTCGAGGATTTCCTGTCTGGCCAGTTCAGCTTGTTGTTGCGATGCTGCTCCGAAATCGTCGCGTTGTAATAGTATGGCGCGACACAATCCACATGTGTTGTGATGTTCTTCCCATCTGATTTGGCAACGTCGATGGACATATTGCTGACAGCATGGAAGTAGTACACTTCGTTAACATGTGGGAGATTTTATGTGACATACAAAACATTCGTATTCTCCAGGGGTAATATCTGGGGATTCATCTCTCAATCGTCTGCTGTGGCGTCTGGCCATTTTTCTACACATGACACAAAATAGATAGTCAAAATAGTGACAAAAGACATCTTTTTTGTAAAAAAGAGGGTAAGATACCTTTTTCTTCGTCTTCTGGCCGTCTTTCAACAATTGGGTTGTATTGCAGCACTGTGGATTGTGTGCTCTATCGATGAGGAGCGTCCCTTTATATAGTGTCCTGATGCCCCGTTGACATGTGGTATGACGTGACAGGGGGTACCCCCCCATCTCCTACAATGACATACCACATGTCAACGGTGTCAGGTGTAATATAAAATTGTAGATCGTGTTTTGGGAAGAAACCATTTCAATGATGATGAAGACGCGACAAAGAACTATCCAGGAAGAACTTCATTTGGAAACCGATCTGATCAAACAGAGTGCAGATCCCAAGGCGGAGCTCGTCACAAGACAACATCTCGTGACATCGATTCAATTGGTGTATAAATTACAGAATGAAAATTGGGTACGCTGGCCTGTTTTTGCCAAACAAAACGACGTGGTCATGGCTGCAAGATTTTTTAAGATCGTGGAGAGGATGGATGAATTGATACCTATTCGTCCGCCAGTGAACTATGCTACATATCAAACATTGAAAAGAATAGAGTTTGTGAAGTTTCAATCTCACTACAGTAGGATCGAGTGGACCAGACTTGTGGCTAGATTCATGAAGATTTTTACGTATTATGAACAACATAAAGAAGTTGTTGCGTAAAAAATGAAATGTAAAAACACACATAGGGTTTCAAAAATAAAAAAGAATTTTAGTTTTATACAAATGTCTCGTTTTTAAATACATGTTAAAAATGATTTTTTTTATGTATCATCATCAAATATCAACTTTTTGGCAATAGAACCTACAGGTTTTATCACTGAACCCCAAACTCCTTTTTTCTTTTTACTTCTTCTTCTTTTTGTTCTACCACTACTACTACTACTACTACTGGCACTACTCACTACCAAATCTTTAGCAGCAGAGCCTATAAAACCTATGGAACTTAAGACAAAACGTTTCTTTTTCTTCCTTATTCCTGTAGGATCCCAACTTGTCCACCCTTTGGCCGTTCTTAAGTTTTTAACATATTGTGGTGTTTTCCAGATCTTTCTCAAGGTTTTACTGACGACACCTTCAAGATCTGGTTCAGGTCCTTCTTGAGCAAAGGTTGATTCATCCCATGACACATTTCCTGGTTTCTTGGGTACCTTGACAGGAGGTGTGACAGTGACTTCTTTTTTGGTGACCCTGACGGGAGGTGTGACTGTAACTTCTTTCTTGGGTACCTTGAAAGGAATCGTAGACGGTGTCACGAATTCTCTTTTGGGTGCTCTTCTGGGTGTGGTCGTCGGTTCTTGTTTGAGAGTGACTTGATTTAAAATTCTTTTGAGTAATTTCTGCTGTACAGGAGTGACTAAATCTCCTTTTCATCTTCCAGGGCTTTAGCCAACTTGCTAGGATCCGCGTTGACCGATAACGATGCTGGAAGTTGTCTCAATTTTTTGATATTGAGTTCTATATCAGGATCAATCTGTTTGATAGCTTGCTTTTTGAAGGCTTGACTTGTTTTGGGATTTTTTAAAATACTCATTTTACGACTCATGAGTTTGGCCGCTGTGTCCATTGTAGGATCTTCGACAAATCGTCCTTTGAAAAGATTGATCATTGTTGGATCTTCGGCTGGAATCATGTACATTTTTTGATTGGACATTTTTTCTCTTTTCTATCGGCAATAAGTCTTGACAACGGTGTTTAATCCATTCCACAATCTTCCGCCTTTCTGATTTATTAAGGCTTGTCTTCTCTTTTTAAGCGATACAGCTCGATTTCCAATTCTCCTCAAGGTTTGCTTGAATGGTCTTAATCTGGCCATGGTGATGGGTGAGATTGGCACATTGTTTTTGAGTATTGACTTGATCAGAATACGTACACCCAATTGATTGCGAGGATTCTTGAAGGCAACAATGTAATGTGCATTTCTAGAAATGGTTTTGGCATGGTTTGCCTTTTGGAAACATATCTTGAGTCATGGAAATGACGTTGATACCTCTGTGATGTGATTCTCTGGTAAACAGATCTAAGACTCTATTATCGTCACTTCCTTCACGCATGAGATCGTCTAATACCAAGACTCCTCCTTTTGTTTTCTTGTACCATTTATCCAATAATGCAGTACCTGGAATTCCTTCGTAGAAATGGATCCCTTGTTCTTTTTTCAATCTTTCAAACGTAGTGGGTTGATAGGAACCGTAACAATAGACTACCGGATTATACGGTGGTGTAAACAATCGACTTCTTTCTTTCAATAGTTTTTCTACAAACGCCGTTTTACCGCAACTAGAAGGTCCCACAACCATGATGCTGCACGGGCTGTGAAACCTAAACGATCTAAAAGGATTCATGATTTTTTGCGTGTAAAATAGAAAAAAAGTGTTTTATATATATATTCAATGGACAAGATCTGCTATTGTCTTGTTTACAACATTTAATATTTTTAACTCTTGAATTTAATAATGGTTTGATCATTTCTTTCACCAAATGATCGTTGTGCACAAAATCCCCTTTTTAAATAAACTTATGAAATCGTGCATGCTTTGACCTCTAGCTTTAGCTTTCAAATACATTAATGCATATTGTCCACACGATTGTGCGTTCATTTCTTGCAATGTCACTGCATTACTGTTTATATTTTCAAAGTTTTCGCAAACCCATTCCACCACATCGGATGGTTTGTACCAGTTTAATGGTAATCCGTAACTGTCAAAGACTTTGCAAGTGTGTTTTTTTTTTGTGAAAATAGCCAACCAATGAGATCCAGCTTTACTGATTTCGTCGGTGTTGACGATGTAAGCTTTTTTTCTCCTTTGTTCTAGTAATCCTGGTAATTATCGACTGCAAACACTCCTTCGAAAATAGGTGCCAGACATGGATCTTGTTTTGCGAGATAAGATAATTGTTTTGTAGTAAATGGAACGAATTCCATGACCTCTTCTTAGATTCTGCCTGCAATCGTTTGACTGTAAATGTCGTACTGAGTGCTTCCTGTGGGTTTTATCTGCAACATGTTTTCAAATTCACCGTAAATGATAACTGTCACTAATTCATCTACAGATGTCTTTCGTATTGAGATGTTGACACGTCCTTCCTGTTTAGGGTTCAATTGTACATTGTCTGCACATCCAGAAGCCACATTATTCCACATGAATAAAGTGGTATGTCTGTTGTGTCCCCAGTGTTCCGGTTTGATCATACATTTTCCTTTAAACTTACAGCAATTAGCCATGGCAAGTCTGTGATACCCTGCCATATCGAGCGTACCATTAGCTGGATTAAGTTCTAAAGCTTGACACAGGTACTCTTCTCCTTCCACAATCTGTTTGATACTACTTATTTTGTGTTTGGTGAAATTGAAGGGATTGTAGCCGTAATCTCCTGAAAAGCTTCTTTAAAGGACTAACCCTACCACCACACGGTCTGGGACTCTCCCGTTGAACACATCTGTAGCTTCGAAAATGCTGTCTCTGTTTTGCAGGGTATAGTTCCTGATTTCTGATCTCACAGTGGGATAGTACACATCTAGATTTTTTTTCCAGTGATTGTACATGTCTGACCTTACTTTGACCATACATGCAAAGAATTTCATTTTCAAATCTCCCTGTTGAAGCCTGACATTTGTAGTCACTGAAGTCAGTCCATTCATGAAGAATTTGGGATCATTAAGGGTAAACCTCATTTTCAGATCGACTCCTGGTATAAGCATTCTACCTGAATTGAACAAATCCACATGAGGCATACCAAATAATTGAATGGTTTTTCCCCCTGTGGTTCGTTCTCTCATTTCCAGAGCCCCGTTCACTGCTTCTTTTCGTTCTGGTATTAATGCTTCGCAGTCAGCATGTGGTGTTGCCCTGTCCAATTCATTGGCCGTCAAAGTTATAGCTGGATAATCTAGCGCTGAATATTACTCCTGCAGTTTGAGAAACGTTTCCTCAACTTCGGTTCCGTAATAAAGGATGGTTTCCAGATGAGCTTTGTAAGGATACGTGTCCGTTTGTTCTGTCGTCAAAGTTCCATTCACGTAGATGGAAGGTTACTAGATGATAGTGTGAAATGCATTGGGAGCCAGCCATGGTGCATCTGCACTTGCCAGATTTGTTCCATCAGCTTTTTTGAGAGTCAAATCCATACGAAAATAACTTCTACTAAAATCGATATATTCGCGACTGCCTGGTATCATAAATTCTATAGGGGTAATACTTTTACTGGTCGGATTGATTTCCACGATACAGTATCCAGTGTAAGTGATGTTGGTAGGTGGAACGGTAAAAAGATCCAAAGCCTCATCAGAGACCTCACCCGATTTCATATGGGCCGGGGAGGCCTCACTGCCCCCAAACACGACGCTCATCTTTGAACAAATGATGAAAAATGTAGATGAAAAAAGTTTTTTTATAACGAATTTTTTTATAACTTATTTAAAGCTTTGGTGATTTTTCCAGCGAGAGATTTTGCAAATTTATATCCTGGAATCAATCGATTTTTCAATTTGGTAGATAATGCCGATATTGATCCTCCCGTCTGTCGTCTCCTTTTTCGATATCGTCTACGTCCTCCACCGACTTGACCGCGTCACCGACGTCGTCTTCCATACGATGACCCGGCTAATCTCATCATATATCCTTAATTTCTAAATGGATTAGAAGCTCTGTGTATAGGAATATCATCCATACTCTTCTATGAAAAAATGAAGCAAACCACGGACTTTCTTTTTTATACCCTTCTTGTTCCCTTTCGTTTATTTCTTCTTCTTTTCAAGAGTTTCTTACCAATCATTTTTGCTCCTGCAATAATTGGCGCAATAGGTATCGTTCCTCCTCGTTGTCTTTTTCTACGTCTACGTGCCATGATTTTTTTTGTAAAAATGATTTATTTCGATTATTTATATACTTTTTTAAACACGTCACCAGCAGTACGTTTCTCTCTTAATAGGTAAAAATGTCCACAACAGTACGTCTCGCTCTCTTTCTTCTTCTTATACCTCCCAATCCACTACCTCTTTGAACTCTCTTTCTCTTTCTTGCTTATTTTCTTTTTACATTCTTCACACCAAGGAAATTACTTATCACGCCTAAGGTCCTTTTGGCAACGGTTTTTACAGCAGTATCAGAGGCGCATTGGACACCAGGTTGTATCTTTTTAAGGGAATTACGTAAGATTCCACCCAATCCACGTCCTTTTTGATAATATGACAATCCATCTCCTTTTTGATAATATCGCAAATCTCCACCTCTCATGATTGCTTTTATCTCTCCTTTTCAGTATTTTGAAAATGATAAAAAAAAAGAAATCATGACTCGTATTTATAGCCTTGGGGTATATATTTATTTTTTAAATCTGAATGAACATTTACAATAAACGTAAGTTGATCGACAGAGTTAGATAGCTTCTCATATTTAAAACGGATATTTACACAGCGAAAAGTGGGTTTGATTTCTTTTATAATAGAATTTATAATCATAGTGAGTACACGTCCTACTTGAGTGTAACTGTACGGTATCATCTTTCAGTAGCGTCTGGGTTGTTTCACCTGCGCTAAACTGGTGATGTCTGTAATTTTGTTAGAAAATTCGTCTTCTTTTTTGAATTGTTCGTACGCTTTCCAGGTTTCAGGAAAGTACCACCCGTTTTTCATGAGAATTCGTCCGAGTTTTCTGAATTCTGCATCTAAGTAGGCATCGGAAGCCGCGTTGGCATCGTTCACATAGTATTGCGGCATCAATGTAGACCACAATACATGTCATTTTTTTCTTGTGCTCCACTTCTATTCTCTCAGCAAATTTCTGGAATTTGGTTGGGTCTAACGGTTGTCCCATGTAAAAACAAGGAATATGATCCTCTTCCCAAATGATTTTGAGAACATGGAGAAATGCTATCATTTCCACCACATCTTTCACATTCACCTCTGTACGGTATCTGTTGATTTCTCCGGTACTATTGCGATATTGAATCTTGTGGAGCACAGAGAGAGGATCCATTCCCAGAATCCCCCCCAGGAAACGCGATTGACTTCCTTCCACCTTTGCTTTTTCCGTAGTATTAGTAAAATTACAAACATAATGAGGACAAAGAGGACTTGTCCAGTTACATACATGATCTGTAGCATTGATTACTTCCATTGTATGCAATAAAAGTGAATTATTTTTATTGTTACACTGCCTTAAATATAATTTTTTCTGATGACGTTTACGATTTTTGCCCACCTCTTCTCCTGAAATGAACTGTCAAAATTGTCGGTCCGCTGTTGAATTTTACCTGTGTTCCATCGGTTTCACTGATCCCACTTCTATGATGTCAAACACATTTTTCCGAATGGGTATATACTGTAGATTTAACGGTTCATATAGATATTTTCCTTTTTCGTAATTGTTGAACGAAACCTCCCTCAACAAATCTGTTTCTGTACCACCCACGATCTGTGTCTGTGTCAAATCTGTATACACAAACAGTGTTCTATTGGGATCCACAAATTCCTGATAAATTTGTTCATCTAAGCCTGAGAAATACCAAGTGACGTACGAATAAAATCGTACATATTTTTGTGCTGCATCATGTGGATGATGTGTATGGACTACCTTTCCATAGGTATTTTTCAGGTTCACCACCCCACATTTGCAAATTAGGATCCCTGAAATGTTCCACTCTGACGGTACTTGATAAACATAGTTCTTTCGTTTTTTGGCCAGAACTGTCTGTTTTTTCTATTTCCTCTACCAATTGAAATTTTTCGGCCATCTCCACGTCAATGTCTATGTAGTTTTGTTCACAAAACCACCTTCTCAATTGCTGCAGGAGATCGTCCCTTTGATGAATTGGCGGCATTCTACCCATCAAGTAATGGACATCGAAATCCTCCATGTATTGCACCCCTTCGTTGTTGATCTTCAATTCAAATTTGCCTGCATTCTGTACCCATTCAAAGAAAGGAAGTTTACTTTTTCCATCAGCATGTTTACATTCAGTAAGAGAATTTCTTCTCTGCAACACTGATTCCCCATTAGGGTTGATCACATACGAACCGTCTGCAATATCGCGATATTTCTTGACATTCACAGTAGATTTGAGTAGTTGACTCACTGTTACCCCCAGAAAATCTGGTTTAGGTTCCATCTGTTTCACTAATTCCTATTTCTATGGTATCAAACGCATTTTTTCTTACAGGAAGAAACTGCAGGTGTTGAGGTTCATAAATGATTTTGCCTCCGTTGTATTCGACCTTTCTCAAGGAGATCTGTTTCTGATTTCCCTACGATCTGTGTTTGTATAAGATCTGTGTACACGTACAGGGGACGTGATTGATGTAGAGAATTGCTATAGACACGATTATCGATTTCGTAAAGGTATCAGTTCACTGCACAACTCAGTTTCAAAAATTTTGAAGAGGTTGCAGTTCCTTCTGGTTGAAACGATCCTCCACCATCCACGATCTCCCATAATCTCTGAACACCGTTCGCCAGACTCACATGACTTAAGGGTTCTCTGAAATGTTCTGCACTTACAAGACTAGTAAGCTGGTATCCTCCACCATCTTTTTTAGGAATCACCAAACTGAATGCTTTAGCTATATCAAGATGGATTAAAAGGCGTTTCCCATCAACCATTTGTAATCCCCATTCACGACTCCTTCATTGTTTATCTTTAATCTGTAGGCACCACCGGCATTTTCCCATTCAAATTCTGGCCATTTGAAATGTATTGCTCTTCCGTTTTTGTAAACGTTTTCTGTGAAATATTCACTCAATCCATCAGGCAAGGTGCTATGTAGTTTGTAATTCAATTGAGCGAACATTCTATTACAAAAATCCACACCATCCCTTGAAGCTAATCGGATACTGCTTTTTCTCTGGTATTCATCTTTCATCATTGGCCCTCTCAACCAACACGATGTACTGCCGATTTTATCACCACTACTGTTTTTCGCATCCAAGTCAAGTTCAATACCGCACATGAAATCCTTGGATATCAGTTGATCGTAATTGACATCGTCGTAGACCGTTGATGATGATAATGAGGTTGATGGGAACGAAATACCCGTCAAGGCCACCTCCCATTGTTTACCTGGTAATAAAATCTGTTTGGCAAGTTTTGCCTTAAACTTACCCGGATGATTGTCTGTAAAGATATTGCCATACCCGTCACTAGGAACAGTGAGATAAAACGTATCTGGATTAGCCAGCATGATTCTCACAAATCGACTATTTCTTTCTCGTTTGCCCAACTGTCGTACTTGGAAGGCCAACCTTTCCAACTGACCAAAGCTTTCCCGTCCTTCTTCTTTAATACTTTTTCGATCCGGAAAAACGCATCTTAATCACCCATATCAACTTTTTGCAACTCTTCCTCATAAAACGTACCTTTGATAGGAGTTTCATCGTATTCTTTGATCTTGTAAGATGGTACATAGGTATTTAATACTCTATCTATGATGAATATTTCCTCTGTCCATCCCGGTAAATACCCCTTTTTAAAGGTTCTACGAACCTTACTCAACATGACTTTATCTCCCACCTTCAATCTTGGCTTTTTTAAATTTTTACTGGGTACACCGAATAATTTCTTACTGTACAATTTCTTCCATATTTTTACATCGTTATACATGGTGACATTTTTAGGTGCTACACCCGTAGCATTATGTACAGATGCGTTATAAACCTTGACCAAATCTGGTAAAAAATCCAGCTACTTTCGAGTAGCATTAGCTGTTAAAGCTCGATACAACCTCTGTTTGAGGGTTTTGTTAAATCTTTCTACCACAGAAGCTTTTGTATCGCTTTGAGTATTAAAATGAGTAATCCTTTTCTGTTTGAGATATTCTTGAAACGGTTTGTTGTAAAATTCACTTCCCTTATCTGTTTGTAGACGTAACGGTTTTCTACCTTTTTTTTAAAATAGACTCAAAAGCACGTTTTTGTTCTGCGCCGGTTTTGTTCTTCATAGGAACCACCCAGGCGTATTTACTTAAAACATCTACAACCGTTAAGAGATATTTTATCCCCTCGTTGTATCTACTTAAATTTTTCATATCTGCTAAATCGGCTGCCCATTGATGATCTATACTATTAGCTACCGTTGGATTTGTTGTATAACGTCTTTGTACCGGTTTATGCAAAGAGTATATTAAATTCTTTCGGGCGATACCCTTGAGTTTTTTGACAGGTACACCTGTAGCTTTGTGTAACCTTTCCAATCCACCATAACTACCCCGATTAGAAAAGTCATAATAGGTCTTCAATACCATTTGTTCTAGTTTCTTTTCCTTATCCAACCTTTTTTTCTTTCTCCTGCTTGCCACCATGACCTTTTTTCTCACAGTAAAACTTTAGTGCAGCATCTCACAAATACGATTAAAGCGACTCTCATTAACTCCTTGAATGATGGTACTTTATCAGGATGGGTATTAAATACCCATTCTTCATGTTGTTCGAAATCTCTTCCTCTCAACTGTTTTCTCATTCCCTCCATGTGTACAATGAATACACCAAAATTCCATTCTCTCTCAGGGTCAGGGTCATTGATCAAATAATCAAATAATTCATCCGCGTTTTCTTTGGTTTTCACCTTTTCCAATTCTTCTCGAGGAACAAGCGAATCTCGACCATTCAATTCGTTTTGATAAATAAGTCGCCATAACCACTCTTTCCCTATCCGTTCCATCTCCTAATCTGACCAATGAAAACCATAGCAGAGCTATTTATATAAATCGAAAACAAAAATTCTCATTCGTTTCCATGTGTTATCCTGAAATAGTGAACGTCAATACTGTAGCCACCCAAACCGATTTCTTTAAACGGGAACGTCAATTTTTCAAAGAACAAGTATCCAATCATCATTGAAAGAGATGCTGGGTAATAGCTATCTTGAAAACCATTCATGAAAAGAAAGGACTCGAACCATCCATTCATCCCTTTTTTTCCATGCAAAGATTATAATATGTCGATGAAATGGGTTACAAACTCGAACGTGGACTTCAAGAAATCTATGACGAATGGGTCAAAATCCTCAGAGAAAGAGGTGTGTATCATCCTATTTGGAATCATGAAGACATGGAATTTGTCAAAACCATGATCTCTGGAAATAGCAGCAGCAGATTGCTATTGGAGGAATTGCTGTCCTTCAAAACAGAAGAATTGGCATTTTCTTACGAATGTCTAGGATTCACCCATCAAGATATTGACATCATCTTCGATTGGATGAGAATCACACCTGACGAACGTTTCACGGGTGGATTGGATGAAATCTTCCGCAATTACAGACGACTCCTGCCTTTGCACCCAACGAATTGTTGAAAGAAATGGGGTTTGACATTTCTTCAACAACTTTCACTTCTTCTTATTCAACTGTGTCACCTACAACGGTCACCATCATGGATGAGAAGAAGTATGATCTTAACATTTGTCTCTTTCATCTCTGCAATTTGGAATTTTTTCAAGCCATGTCCAATATGGAATGGTACATGAAATTCCCTTTCTCTAGGGAGTGTGGAGTGTTCACGCACAGAAACGAGCAAAACAGTTATATGGGTGTACTCAACAGAAAAGTGTACGACACCTACAGGAAACTCAAAGGAATGTGAATGTAATAATCAGGCTTCCCTCAAAGTAAGCAATTCACCTCAAAACCCAGGAAGACCTCTTTTTGCTTGCCGCAATAAGGGTGGATGTCGATTCTTTCAATGGGAAGATGTAGGATTTACCAAGAAAAATAAACAACTGCAAAAACTATTCAAAGAATATGGCAGGTTTTAAAACTTTTTTTATTTAACTGTAAATATTTTTCAACTGTAAATACATTTCTTTCTTTTCTTTTTTTCAACGTCTTTTATTAATCAAAATGTGAACGTGTTTGAAACGGATATACATAATGTTTACTAAACTTTAACTTTGAAATGACATCCTTATTCTTTAAATAATAAGAGTGAATCTTATTCAACTTAAAAAGTAAATTGTCCCATTCAGTTCTTGAATAAAATTCTTCAAACTTGCAGAAATCAATGTTCGAAAATGTCTTGTAAATGCCAAATCCCACGGGCGGTTCTGGGTCAAGATTTTCTTCCATCCTTTCAACGATGTTGAAAAAACTCTTGGCCTGTACCATATGATAATGTTCTATCAGATCTGGCCAACAGGTCCAATTTTCTTCATCAGCTTGTAGCTTGCGTAGAGATCTCGTCAAACTCAGAGTTGTACGCCGCTACTTCGTCCATGTTAAAGTCACTCCCCTCAGCACGCACTGCGCCACGATTTTGTCCATTGTCTTTGAAGGGAGTAAGATTTTTGCAGGGGCTCTCGTTTAACACACGTCTCTAGGCCAACATTCTTCAACTATACAGTAGTAACAGCAACACCTTTCTTGCTCAATGCAGACAGAATTCAAATATAACAATAGAATAAACACAAGAATAAAGCAACAAAGCCAAATTGTAAGAGACATTGTTTTTTGATTGGTACCAAAAAATGATCCACCTCCTATAGTACACCCCATAGCGCTTCCATGTGGTATCACATGACAGGGGGATGGGGGGTACCCCTATACCATGTTACCAATTAAGGTAAATTGACGTCATACCACACGTGATAAGTTGACGCTATAAATACGTAACATCTGCTGGCGGAATTCATCAGTTTTTTCCCAAACATGGATAAACAACAAGAAGAAGAAGATATTTCTGACGAAGAATTGTTAAGAGCTGTAGAAGATCTTGAACGGACAGGGTAAAGTGGCGGTGGTAGTGTTTCAAATCGTGAAGGATACTTCAATTTCAAACGAACCCAATTCAGAGAAAAAACGCCAAGAGTTATGGTATCAAACGCACTTCATATCATTTAAAAGTGCAAAACCCACAGGATACCTTTCCTGTTGGACATGGGAATATTATAAGAGCTTTTGAAGAAGGACTTGCTAGAAGTATTCAAGATTTAATCGTTGGATTACCAAATCATGATCGTATTCAAATCTATCTTGGGAGTAACAGACTCAGAAATTCTCATACTTCAGCAAATGTTTCCATCGAACGATGGCGTGATCCATTGGGTGCATCCAGACAAGTGCTTCAAAATATTTCAAATCTACTCAATTCAAACGAAAACTTTGATTTGGATGATACATTGCAACTCGATGTCACACACATCACTATGCCACCACCCGGAAGCGGTCTCCCCAAAGGAAAACGCAAACGACATTGTTTTGGAACAGATAATTACGGAGAATTTCTTCATTCCAAATGATCTGTGATACGAATAATGAACAATGACGAACTTTGCTGTGCACGAGCCATTGTAGTGGCTAAAGCCATAGCGGATGAGGATCCACAATTAAAACTGGTGAAAGACTCTCATTGCCCATTACAAAAAAAATTGGTGCAAACCCTACATGAAGAAGCGCGCGTACCTATTAGACTCTGAGGACTAGAACAAATCAAACTGTTCGAGATCATCTTGAACGAATATCAATTCGTTGTCGTCTCCGCCGAACATGGACACGCCATTGTTCATAAAGGACCCCAAAGTAACAAACAAATCGTGTTACTCATGCGTGATAGTCATTTTGATGTCATCACCAAACTCTCTGGATTTTTTTATTCTGTCTAGTTTTGTCTTCAATGCGAAAAAGCCTACGCTGTAGAAGACTATAGTCACCATACATGTCGCAAAACTAAACGTGACGCCTGTCTTCAATCCAATTGCCGTGACTACGAACTATTCAAACACACCGAAAAACCAGAACTACCATGCAAAAACTGTAATCGTCATTTCTATGGAGTCACGTGTCAAATGAACCACCTCACTCTCAAAGCCAATGGACAACTGGTAGCACTCCTTGAAAAATATGTATGCAAATCACACAAAAAATGTTCTATTTGCTTACATGTGTTCACATCAACAGCTCAAGAACACATGAAACATTGCGGATTACAATACTGCCCCAGTTGTTCCAAAGAAGTCAACATTCTACAACAGAGGTGCTTCCTTCAACCCATCACACATGAAAAGAAAAAGAAAAGAAAAAATGAAAAAGAACAACACATCGTGTTCGTTTATTTTGACATTGAAGCGCAACAAGATACCGGAAATCACATCGCTAATCTGGTGTGCGCAGAAACCGATCAAAACTATACACAATTTACCTTCCAAGGTAAAGATTGTATACAACAATTTATATATTGGATTCACACCATAGCCAATCAAGACGTTGAAAAGGTGATCGTAGTGGCGCACGACTTCAAAGGTTATGACGGGTACTTCATGCTCGAAGAACTCTACAAGCAACACGTCACCAATCTCACGCGAATCGTCAATGGAGCCAAGATACTCAGTTTAGACTTGCCCCATATAAAATTCATCGACTCCATGAACTTTTTTCCCATGGCTTTGTCGAACTTTCCAAAAACATTTGGAATTCATGAACTAAAGAAAGGGTCTTTTTCCTCATTTCTCCAACACGCAGCAAAATCAAAACTATGTTGGGTACATGCCTGACAAATCTTACTACGACCCCGACGGAATGTCCACAGCGCGCAAAGATGAATTCCACAAGTGGTATGACGAAAAAGTATCTGAAAGATACATTTTCAATTTCCAACATGAACTCTTAACCTATTGTCAATCAGATGTAAGACTCCTCAAACAAGGGTGCATGACCTTTCAATCCCAATTCAAAGATATTGTCGACTTCAACCCTATGGAACATTGTATCACTATCACTTCTGCCTGCAATGTGGCATACCGCAAAAAATGGATGCCTGAAAACAAAATCGTCGTACGACCGGTACGTGGATGGCTTTCCCATCACATCCAATCTTGTGCTGCCCTAACATGGCTCTACTGGGAAGAAAAAAACTGATTAAAACCAATCTCCTGCCCCGAAACAAAGGTGAAAGAACACTGATGCATGGATCTCAAAGATTTCTCGTAGATGGATACGACGAATAAACACGTACCGTCTATGAATTTCAAGGGTGTTTCTACCATGGGTGTCTCAAGTGTTTTCCAAATCGCACCATGAGACATCCCATTCACCAAAATAAAACCATGCGAGATGTGCGAGAAGAAACTAGAACAAAAATCGAGCAATTGACCGTATTGGGATACCATGCAAAAGAGATGTGGGAATGCGATTGGAATCGCATGATACGAACAGATCCTCAACTGAAAAAATTTATCGATACAGTCGACATTGTCACACCTCTCAACCCTCGCGAAGCCTTTTTTGGTGGTAGAACCAACGTAATCAAACTTCACCATAAAGTTGAAGAAAACAAACAAATCAAATACAGCGATATGATTTCGTTGTACCCATGCGCAAACCCAGAATGTGAGTACCCTATTGGTCACCCTGAATTCATCGATCAACCTGGGACCATAGATATCTCCAAATATTACGGATTGGTAAAATGTAAAATTTTACCCCCCTACGAACTATATCATCCTGTATTACCATACAGATACGACTCCAAACTCCTGTTTCCACTATGCAGAACATGCGCGCAACAACAGATAAAACAACAGCCCACAAACAACAAAAGAAGCGAAAAGTGCCCCCATTCTGCTGAGGAACGATCCCTCACAGGTACCTGGACCACCTTCGAACTTCAAAAAGCCATTGAAAAAGGCTACGTCATCGCTTACAGGTACGAAATATGGCACTTTAAAGAACGATCAAACCAGCTGTTTCAACCATGCATAAAAACATTCATGAAAATCAAGCAAGAAGCTTCAGGATGGCCCGCAGAATGTGATACCGATGAGAAAAAAAAAGAACTATCTGCATGACTATCAAGAGCATGAAGGCATTGAACTTGACCCTAATCAAATCGAAAAAAACCCAGGTCTACGTTCTCTAACTAAATTAATGCTCAATTCTTTCTGGGGAAAGTTCGGGCAACACCACAACCAAACCCAAGTAACCACATGCACCAAACCAAGCGAATTCTTTCAAATAATAACAGACGATAGACAAGTCGTTCACAGAATTGAAATTGATGATGATCATATATTCAGCCTTCTTGCAGTAGAAACTGAATTACAAGTCGGGTCATAATTTACAAATACTTCTACATTATGCATACAGAACTATTTTAGATATCAATTAAATATAAATATTAAATATTGTGTAAACATTAAATACTATATGTAATAAGATAAATTGCAGTTAAGTATATTACACATGATTCTGATATTTAATAGTACAAAAATTTCCAAATCTAATAGATCTTGAGGAGGTAGGTACAGACACAGTTCTTCCTGCCCTAAGGGCATATGGTCTTGAAAATTGACATCGCGGTACTAAATTTTGTAGTAGGTGAGAAGAGTAGTAACTCTGCTTAAGGAAAGTGACGCACGCATCTTCCCTCCTCTGGCATAGATTAATTAAGCCTGACTTCTTAAGCGTGTCCTCATAACTCATAAACGGGAAAATGATTTTTAGAGCCCTCTTTTGAACCGACTCAATTTGATCATTCAAGTACTGCGTGAGGCCAGCCCATACAGGACTTGCATACTCCAAGACAGATCTGATGATGCTACAGTAGACCAAGATAAGCTGCCCATCAGTTAAACCACACTTCTTAAGAGCACGTATTGCATATAACCTCTTGTTTCCTTTCTTTACAATATGAAATACATGCTCGTTCGACGTTAAGTTATCTGATAAGTGTACCCCCAACAACTTGTAACAGGAAACCTTTTCTATTTTAGAATTACCAAGAGCTAAAGGGGGTGGCGAAAACGGGCAATACTGTAAAAACGTAATGCACATTTCTTTGCACTTCTTGCTGTTGAGAACCATTCCCCTAGAGGAAGTCAACGAGTAAATTTCGGACGCAGTAAAATTCAAGTATGAAGGAGAAAGCCTAGGGACAAACTCCATAACTGTAGCGTCATCTACATATTTAACTCTATTTTTACAATTAAAGGCCATACTGTTCACAAGAATACAAAACAAGATATGGGCCAATTTAGTTCCTTGGGGAATTCCACCATTCAGCTGTATTGTTGGGGACAGCACCGTCCCCACCCTCACCCACTGTTTCCTATTTGTGAGGAAGGAAGCAATCCACCTCATCAAATGTGGGTCCACATCCAGGTTATCCAGTTCATGCAGTAGAGCATTATGATCCACAAGATCAAATCCCTTGGAGAAGTCAGAAAAAAACAACCTGACATACATCTCAACACGGTCAATCGTCTCCAAAATTGTGTGAAGTAAATATACCAATGCCTGCGTGGTAGATCTTTCTGGGAGATCAAACTGTTTACTGTCCAACTTGCTCCAGACACAGGTGAGCAGGGACTTAGCTGTGAAGCCTTCCAGTACTTTGGCTATTGGTGAAGTTAATGACACTGGCCTTAAGTCACTTTCAACAGATCTTGGGGGGGTGGCACTTCGGGACAGGGACCACAACAGCGTGTTTCAGTTGTGCTGGAACATAACCCTGTTCAAGTGAGGAGTTGTATAAATCAGCAAGCACAGGAGAAAGTTCAAAAGCAAACTCTTTCCAAACAATATTCGGGATCTGCTCAAGACCTGATGATTTCTTTACCTTTAATGCTCGTAGGGTCTTATAAACTGTACACTCTGAGACATACAGGTGCATAGGCACCGGCCCAAATACCGGTAAAAGAGGCTCTAATGGACGAAAGTGTGCCGTTAGGCTACCAAGAAACTCGTTAAACTTTAATGCTAGTGTAGCTTCATCAGGTATGTCACTCCCAATCAGCTGAGATGACAAATCACCAGAGACCGAAAGGCCACCCAAATCTTTGATGTCCATCCACCTCGAGAAATATTTGAGTCTTGTAGACCAGATACTTTGTTCTCATAAAAACGTTTCTTACATTTAGAACACTCTTCCTGGACTCTATTCCGAAGCCGCTTGTAGTTGTCAGAAGACTTCCCCCATTTAACAAGAGCTTTTTGGCGCTGTGCAATCGAAGATTTCACTGCAGAGGTAATCCATGGTTTATCAGATGTAGAGATTTTAACTTTCTTGGCAGGAAAAAATGTGTTTACTGCCTTCATCAGGCAACTGTGTAGAAGGTCAAACTTTGATTGCACATCAGAGATGTTTAAGATTGCTGTCCAATCATAAGTTGTTATCCATTGCCCAAAAGCCCTTAGACGACTGGCCCTGGTATCCCGCAACATTTGGGATTTAGTCCTCAAATTTGAGAATTGATTACTATTTAATGGTTTAATCAGTAGAGCGTTGTGATCACCACATCCAATCTTGGGTAACTGACCTGGTTTCGATAGCAGATTAGGCTTGTTGGTAAAACACCAGTCCAAAATAGAATCATTCCGAGTAGGCACAGTTACAATCGTTCCGCAATCCTGTTGCCTGTTGTCGGATGATTTAATTCGTGTAGACGTTGGGTTAAAATCACCAGTTATAATCAACATTCCCTCAGGGTGTCTTCGTAAATAATTTTCAGTGTTCTTTTTTAGATGAGCTATTAGCTTAGAAACCTGTTCAGCAGAACTGCTTGGAGGGAGGTATAGAGCAGCAACCAATAGTGATGAAGTGCACCTGGGGAGACGGTGCGGCCGAATCTTGAGCCAAATTGACTCTACTTCTATTTCTTCAAAATTGCTAATGAACACATGATAGAAGTGTTTCACTCATTTCAAGAAGTATGCGACCCAGTTCAATCCAATGTCAACATCTTTATTGCCTGCTTTACGACGAGTTATGCGCGACTGAAACTATACGATGCTCTAGACATCTTGAAACAAAGAGTATTGTACATGGATACAGATTCTGTCATCTATACCCAAAAACCCACAGAATCTTCAATACCCACTGGCAATTATCTCGGCGAACTCACCAATGTACTCGACGATGGAGATCACATTACAGAATTTGTAGCTGCAGGACCTAAAAATTATGCCTACAACACTTTCAAAGGAAAACAATGCTGCAAAGTCAGAGGATTCACGCTCAACGAACGAGGACAAAAAATCATTAATTTCATTAACATGAAAAACTTGGTATTGAGTGAAATACTACAACCAGAAGATGACCAACGCACATTAACACTCCACAACCCGCACAAAATCACGAGATGTGCAGCCACCAAAACCATCAAAACAGTATCGCAAGATAAAAAATACAAACTCGTTTTTGATAAACGAGTCATCGATCATGACACCTTTCAATCATTTCCCTACGGCTATAAATGCATCTTCACTCCCCGAATCTAAATCACAAGAACAACAACAGCATGGACATTGACATCTTTTGTAACAATTTGTATTGCAGTTTTGAAGGAATCTCTCTCCTCAGTAAGCTTCTTTACTGTATCAGTTTCTTCATTCAACCTTGTCTTCAAGATGCATCTTGGTTTAAACCCCTCCCTCTGACCATCACAGAACATCTTCTCTAACATCCAGGAAGAAGATGGAAGGATGCCCCTAAAGAAATCCTGGAGGCTGTTAGCAAGCTGATCTGGGTCAACAACTGATGATTGGTAGATAGGTACCTTATTATAAAACTTTGTGGTCCTATGGCTGAATCATTTATTACAAGAATTCAATGAAATATCCATATAAATATATATACTATCAACGTAATCTATAATTATTTCTCATATACATATGCTAATCGAAGAGGATGTTGTAAAACTGTTCTTAAATCTGTCCAACAGAGCAAGGTCACAAAAGTGAGTGCATGTCTCAGATCGTGGCATATGCTAAGAATGGAAGGTCAAGGTTTCCTTAGCTTACGGATAGTAATAATATTGCTAAAAGTGCACTCACAAATATTTTCATGTTGTCAAGCAATTTTGGGCAAGCCTAGGCCTCCAAAAATTCCATGTGTGGGCATATTATGAGCAGTGCTCTCTGCTGAATGCATTCTAGCTCATATTATAAAAACTAAGGCACCATAATTGATAACATAAGGTATACATGCAAAATGAAACAAGCATAAATTTTTCATTAAATTGTTGGCACTCTCCATTTGGATGAGGAAATACTTATGGTGCTTTCAGAATTGTAATAGACATGTAGAGCTTACTATGTCAGTAAACCTATGACTATATGATTAAAAATAGGAAATGTCGTTGTTGTATGTGGCATATAGATCGTTTCCAGTTACGTGATCTCATTTTAATTGTCAGAAGTAGCAGTGAGAAAGGAACTGATATGGCAAGAATACCTTCAATATTTACTAGTCAAGAAGAAGTATGGAAACTTTCCAAGGAGAGGTGAAACAAATGGATTTCTGTGATCAGTAGGAAAGAGCGTACAGACAAAATTTTTGGATCACAGCTGGGTCTGTGGTAAACATTTTATCTCCAGAAAGGCGGCTGTACTGTGGGGTTGACTTGATGGGGCCAGACCACCCCGTCAATGTTGCACAAGAGGTGCACAACAGGTAATGGGTAAAATTCAAGATGGTAGCTTGTTTGCAATTTCCTTTAAGCCTTTGACAACCTCTTCAATGCTGTAAATTTGATCTATCGAAAAGCACTGAGAGTGGCGGTGGTATAGGACAGGTCAATAATTTTTTCAGTGAGCTCGAAGATGCCATAGCTGTATTAGATAGCAAATACACTCACTGTGGAGGAAGATTTTCAATGTGCAAAGATTAATACCCTTAAGAGGGAGGGTCTCGAGGTCCTTTAGACAAATGCATGGAGAAATATTTCATGGTCTGCCTATGAGGCCTAAACTTGCAAACCCCCTGGCAATTTTACGGGGATATGCCTCTTGAGTTGTTTGGTTTTTCTCAAGACAGCGTTAAGTGTTGAGGCTTTAGCCAATGATGCAGGGAAAGAAACACTCATAGTCTAATAGCTAATATAAGAAATGTAATGATTAGCTATGATTCCACAATCGTCGACTACGTAATTTCCGTTTTGAGTTAAGTGTCATAAGTTCGATGAAATCAGAGAATATGCCTTTGTCCTCGGACGCAGTTGATTAAGATAAAAGTTACAAGATTTGAGGCAGAAGAAATAATAAGAATTCTACCGGAGAAAAGAGGTATGATTTCGCTTTCGTAATCTTTATTTGCATGTTTTCGGATTGTTTGTCATCTCGGTTATTATGTGAATTAATTCTAAATAGTATTATCGTGTACGCCCTATGTGTACGAGTGATTGCACAATAGCTCATGTTATGTATAGTTCCTAACCGCTCCTAATAGCATGTTATGCCGTAAATTACCTTTCAGCTTTTACGTTTCTAAGTACCGTAATCAAGAATAAAGGATAATCAATAAGACACAAGGCTGAGTGCTTGAAATCAGTAAATCTCTACCTCCGATCAGATATGTTTATGCCCTGAGAACCGAAACCCGCTACAAGAAAAGCAACGTTAATTCATTCAGGAGGACGGGTCTAGATGGCTTTGAAGTGAACTGAGCTGATATTTTAAAAAGGCATATTGCACCTTCAAATGAGAGCAGCCTTGAGAGGTGTGAGGTGCTGGTATCCCATGAAAAGCCCCTGGAACTGAAATTTAACAAAACAAGTGAAGTTCTTATCATTAAATTTCATTATGGATACTGGAATGTGAGCGGCATCCTGAAACATTGAACAAACAGGTGATATAATAATAATAATAATAATAATAATAATAATAATAATAATAATAAAACTACTTATATAGCGCTTATCCAGTCCTGTTCTAAGCGCTTTACAAAAATATTAAAATATCACACGTTAAAATAATATTAAAAGTAAGTCTTAAGTTAACTGATGTCTAAGATATAGGCGTTTGACATGGATAAGAAAAGAGATCATACATTAAAGTAATTTTTAAAAAGATGAGTCTTAAGTTTACGTTTAAAAATATTTAAATTGTCACAAGAACGAATGTCATCAGGTAGTTTATTCCACAGTTCAGGAGCCGAAACAGCAAAAGCTCTATAGCCATAGGACTTGAGATTAAAGTTGACAGGAGTCAGACGCAATGTTGAAGACGAACGGAGCGTTCTTGAAGTTGAATAACGGCGTATTAGGTCTTGAATGTAGACAGGAGACTGCTGGTGAAGAGCTTTATGGGTGAGCAGAATTATTTTGAATTTAATTCGCTCAGAAATTGGAAGCCAGTATAGGTCGAACAAAACAGGGGTGATGCTGTCGAATTTACGAGAGCTGGTAATAAGTCGAGCCGCTGCATTCTGTACTGATTGGAGCTTTTGGATAGCGTATTTGGGGACACCGTATAAAAGAGAGTTACAATGATCCAACTTGGAGGTTACAAAGGCGTGGACTAGAGTCTCAGTGGTCTTAATGGATAGTAATTTCCTTATACGGGAAATGTTCCGAAGATGATAGAAGGCAGATTTACAGACAGATTTGACATGAGGGAGCATTGACATAGTACTATCGAAAACGACGCCGATATTTCTGGAAGATGAAGACGGCTGTATTATATCAGAACCAAAACGAAGTGGAAGTATAGACTGTTGAGGGTTGTGCTTTGAATAAAGGTAGAGAACTTCAGTTTTGTCTTTGTTTAGCTTCAGCTTATTTAAGGCCATCCACTTATCTAGATCGGATAAGCAATTCTCGATTTTAGCAATGCTACTGGTTAATTCCAGATCATCGTTAACGGAAAAAGAAATGTACAACTGAGTATCATCGGCGTAGAAATGAAATTGCATGTCGTGAAAGCGTAAAATGTCAGCAAGAGGAGCAGTGTAAAGTAGGTAGAGGATCGGCCCAAGAACGGAGCCTTGAGGTACTCCAGACTTGAGCTCACGAGATTGCGATTTCCTCCCATCGATTAGGACGACTTGTGTGCGGTTAGTAAGGTAGGAGCGGAACCAGTCAAGTGCAGTGCCACGTATTGAGAATTTAGAATTCAATCTTTTGAGCAGTATTACATGGTCAACAGTGTCAAATGCAGCGGAGAGATCTAGTAACAGGAGCATGACATAGTGGCGATTATCGATAGCAAGCAAAATGTCGTTTTGAACACGGAGAAGGGCGGTTTCGCAGCTGTGGAATGATTTGTAGGCAGATTGTAGCGGCTCTGTGAGTTCGTAGAAGTCAAGATAAGCCTGAAGACGCACTGCCACAACCTTCTCAATGACTTTCGAGATAACCTTAAGGTTCGAAATAGGCCTAAAATTACTAAGAACTTCGTGGTCCAGGTTCGGTTTCTTGAGAAGAGGGGTCACAACAGCGTTTTTA